GTTTCTTTTCTCTTCTTCTGCTTCTTATTCTTTTTTTTTTTTTTCTTTCTTCCTTTACTCGCGTTGACAAGCTTTTTTTCTTTTTTTTCAATTTAATTGTCGAGTATATTTTCGTTTCCCATTTGTTCAAACGCAGATATTGCGCTTATTATTTTTTTTTTTGAGCTTCTTTTCCTTTCTTTTTTTTTTTTTTTTGTTTTGTTTTACGTTTTACGTTTTATCATTCGCGAGAGGAATAAATTATTCTGCTCTAAGGGGAGTTAAGATTTAGGTCTTCGACGTGCTTTGTGCTCGTGTTAAACACTTGGGAAAATTGCGATTAATCTTGTTCTAAAGAGATATGGTTCTCGTGTGCATCGCTTTTAGGGCGATCGCAAGTGTTGGAAACTTGGTTGCGCGTGTAGCTAGTCGATAATAGACATAATTGGAATTATGTTACATTGAAACAACAGCGAGCGACAGAGAAGAATTAAATTTATAAAAGAGAGATTTTATAGAGATATTAAATAATTTTATAGAGATATAAAAGGTGAGTCGGATATTATTCGACAGCTTCTCAAGAATTTTGAATAATTATAAAAATAACAAATCTAAAAATTTTGAATTCTAGGCCAAGACTAGGTTTAGTTGAAGATCATTAGTTTCAAATTTCGAAGAGATAACAGCACTTATGTAGAAAATAAGCGCCATTTGTTATCTTAAATATTTTGGATCGTATGCATGATTTATATATCTCTTATCTTATATAATCTTCTATAAAATAATTTCAACATAGCAAAGTAATTTTCAATATCTTATTATTCAATAATTTAATTAATCAAAATTTCTTATAGAATATTATTGGAAAAAAGAAATTTAGGAAAAATTTGTATATAGAAAAATACAGAAAAGAAAATGGATTTTTAAAAGAAAGAACCACTTGTTTATATTTTCGATTTTTATAACAACTAAATTACGTTCTTCTATCTTATTTAATTGCCTTTTTACATTTTGCAAAATCTATTCGTATAAGAACAGAGGTCTGTTTAATATAAATTTCATTTACACGAAGAAAATTTTATTTAAACTCTAACTGATTTTCTTGATAACAGATGGCGCCAAATATTCAAATATTCAAGTAACTACCCAAATAAATAAATACATAGAGAAATAATTTAAAGAATATTTTTATCAAAAGTACACAAGAAAACACAAAGGGAACACGAGAAAACACAACATATTAAAACAACAATACAAAATTACCACGTATCGTGTTTCGTATCATCGCACGTTGTCAACGTTGTTTCAATGTAATCCCAATTCGAAACGAGGCAAGATGAAGCAAACAGTCGTCATTGTCAAAATTAACGAAGTACAGCATACGAAACCTAACATGATACTCGATGATTCTTAAAGCTCGCAAAGGAAATCCTATTTCCCGCCGACATTAACCTGTACGAGCGTCCGAATCTCGGATCAAAGCCACGAGTCAAAAATATTAAATGGTATATCGTATGAAATACTGAGCATTCGTATATTCGTATATTGACTAAAATGTTTCCTCTGCGCCTAGACTCGTGGCAAATGAGAAGAAATTCGACGAGACGCCGACAGGTGAACGACGAACGCTCTTACGACCTAACCTCTACGATATAATAGCTTCGTTTTTTCGATGATACGTCAAGCCTGGCGGTGTCGTTTCTCTTTATCTTATTCTTCGAGTGCGAATATTAAAATTCTAATAGTAAAACTCTCGAGATAATTCGTTCTCTACAATTTTTTCTTTCTTTACAGAATATAAACATTTTTTTTTTTTAATGGATATTGAAATGAGCACGAAACGTCCATTTATAAATATAATAACTCTCGAGAATCGTTTCACGAAAATTTCAAGAAAAATAGTTCTCAAGAGTTTTAGAAAAATTACTCTGAATTATTTCAACGAAATATATCTATTGGTAAAAATTAATATTTTCAAAAGCAATTATTCTTCATCGATTCTCAATGTTCATCGTCAACTCTTAAGAGTAATTTTTTGACTATTCTCAACGCAATATCCATTAAAATAAATTCTCGAAAATTTTACTCTCGAACATATTCGCACCCCTCGAGACAAATACGCTACGAAACTAAACTAAAGCGCGACGTTCGACGATAAGAATTCATTCAGCGCGATGCGGTTCCTAATTCAATGGCGAATTATGCCAAATGCGACGTGACTAAATCATCATATCGATAATTATTATATTTCAAACGAAAGATCCTTGCGTATTTCTTTATTCATCCATACCCATCTTCAACAATCATCTCTTCGAATCTTTTTTTCTCTCCTCCTTTCCTCTTTTCATTGATATCTCTCGCAGGAAAGGGAATTCCACTTTGCAGCGGAAAAAAAAACCAATCGGAACAGATGCGCGTCCGTTGACGGATAATCCGACGTGGGTACTTTCACAGACGAACTGCAAATGGTTTGGCCATTTAGTTTGGCGAGTAGCGTGCGGTCGAAGAGCAAGAGATTATTCAAGGATCAGGCATCGGCGATCGCTCGAGATCTCGGTGTGTATGTATACGTGTGTGTGTATGTGTGTGTGTGTGATTGTGTGTAAGTCAAGTGTTTTGGCGGATCAAATCGAGGCAAGCGAGAAATCGATCCGGCATCGAAGAACGAGGAGTAAAGCAGCGAGAATCGGACGAGCCATTCGAGGATCTTCGAGATTCGCATTCCTTTCGAAGGCGACTCGACTTAAAAAAGTAAATATACACTAAGAGCTTCGAGTTGCTTTCGAAAATCGTGTCGCGAGTCCCGTTGATCCGATCGTTGAAGAAGACGCCATTTTTATGTATACAAATATCGAGTTGATCGATCTTAGTCGAGTCGAGTTCAACCGGAAATTCAATTCGAGGATCTCGAGGATGCGGAAGTCTGCCTCCTTGGAACAGTTAGATCGAAAAAAGTTTCTTTTTCTTTTCTTTTTTTTTTTTCTTTTTCTTTTTTTTCTTTTCTGTGAACATATATATATATACGTATGTATGCTAGTCTCGTGTGTATCGTGTGTAGATTAGATTGTATGTGTGAGATAGAATCGTGAATGTATCCTACGTGTGGTGTAGATGTGAGAGAGAGTGTGTACCGTGTGTGCGCTTGTACAAGCGTTGTACAGAGGGACAATAACAAACGATTGTCCGCCGATAGAAGGGAAAGTAAAAATAAGAAGAGAGAAAAAAAAAAAAAATAAAAAAAAAAAAGAACGAAGAAAGATGTTGCGCCAAGTCAATCGTCATCATCGTCATTCCATACTTTTCGAGTCATCCATTACCCGCGTCGTCACTCTCTCCCTCTCTCTCTCTCTCTCTCACTTTCTCTCTGACTCACTTTCTTACTCTCTCTCTCTCTCTCTCTCTTTCTCTCTCTCCCTTTCTCTCTCTCTCTTTCTCTCCGCTTGCTTACGCCGGATTTCTCTTACGAGCTAACAAAGAACATTATTTTTTTTTTTTTTTTGTTTTCATTTGTTTATTACGCCGCGCTGTCGCACGCCATCTTAATAATCGTAGTATAAATCCCCCGTTTTATTTAAGTTGTCGTCGATTTACTTACTAGTGATACGGATAATAAAATTCACTGGCATTGTTTTGAAACATCTTGGCAGTTCATTGTGTGTAGTTTATTATTTTTTACTTATTATTCTCTTTATTATTTTATTTTATTTTATTTATTTATTTATTTTTTTTTTTGTTGCTTTTTCAGTTTTTCAGAATATTAACGTGTGCGCTTTGCTCTTAATCTGTGTGTTCTCTCTTTCGTCTGTTTCCTCCTTTCTCGCTCTCTCTCTCTCTCTCTCTTTTTTTCTATTCCCTTTTTATTCCTTTTTCCCCTCTCTTTATCTTTCCCTATTTTATAAGCACAATAAAAGGAGCAGTATGTACCCTTCTTCAGCTTCTCTCTTTTTCGTTTGTATATATATATATATATTTCTCTCTCTCTCTCTCTTTATCTATCTCTATCTCTCGTTTTTTTTTTCATGAGATTCTCTGACTGGCACGGTAGGTACCAAAATCAAAACGAAAAATCGTTTCGATGGTCGTACCCGTAAACTCGATTTATTCTTTAACAAATTCAAACGCTTCGACGGTCCTCGGTGCTCTATGTTCTGTCTCTTGCGTATGTATGCGTGTGTATGCGCGTGTTCGTGTGTATATATATATATATACATATATATATATACACGTGTTTTTTTTACACGTGTGTACGCAGATTTATTTGCATCCCGTGCAACGTTTATTGAAACGAATTTCGAAGACGAGATGATCCTTTGTTTTTTAGTTGTATTCTATTCTAGGGGGCAGTTTTCAACGAATAAAAAACGGTTTCAACACGTTAGTTTCAAGGGCGAGTATATTTGATTTGTAAAAATTTAATTTATTATAGTATATTGATTAAACGTAATCGTAATTTATATCTTATTCTTTTCGAAATATCAATTGTTATCTCGATAACAATTATAGATTTATATATAACGTTAAGAAGTGATGATTAAACTTGTTGGCATTTCATAAAGGAAAACAAGAATAAGGTAAAAATAGTGATGGATCGAATCCGAAATTTAACGATGGTTTTCTATTTTCTCTTTTCCTTTAAGAAATATATTTATTTTACCAAGAAGGTAAAATCTTAATCAATTTTGATATTTGGAATCTCCTTCTTCAAACATTTTCATTACGTCAATACCAATTAAAATCGCTATATAAATTGAATAAAAATAAATTCATATCATAAAATACCTTCTATTGAACAGAAGAGTTTCGAATTACAAAGAATTTCGACGTTTATTAGAACCTCGATATCGTCCTACGCTTAAAAATTACACGTACAACAAACATCGAATCAACTCGATAACAAATTCACAATAAAATCACAATAAAAGCTAGAAAATGAAATTTACATTCGCCAACAGACAGCTGGCTATCTTCGAGTGAAAAATCGCGTCAACCGAGAGAGAGAGGAATTCGATCCCCTTCCACCCCCTATCATCACAACGAATGCCAGGGATGCAGATACCTCGGCGTGGCCTGCATGCGTGTTCGTATATGCGTGTATGTATATGTGTATATGTGTCAGTGTTTCCTTTTAACGCGCCTGTTATGTAGGCGCATTTTCAACGTGTCTCGCTAAGGCGTCCTCTTCGAATGAACTACATGACGAGATATATACATATCTCTTATCTTTATGTATATTATTTATAATATATATATATATATATATATATGTATGTATAGTATGTATATCATAAAGAATACGAAGAGCCTAGTGTTCTCGCATCGTTTTCTTCCTATCACGGTGCGGATCACCCGAAACGAGGCGTAACACACGATCCTGAGGTTTGAGACACCCCGATCAGCTGCATGTCTAAGCGTAGGAGAGACATCCAGGTTATGAACGTTGCTCGAATTTCCCTAGCTTGGATCCATACGTGGTTACAGTCGTGGTAATCGTAATCGTCATCGTAATCGTCTCTGTCCTGTTCGCGTCCCTCGCCGTCCGCACCGATGCGCAACACACGATCCTCGTCGTCGACCACCGACTCGGTCAAGCCGGTTGTCTGAGCATATCTGAATCACGTGACGATGATGTGTGGCGCCGACAGTAGGACGGTGATGGTTGCGATGATGGTGAACAGAGTAAAAATGATTAGGCACATTCTGTCGATCACCATCGCCGCGAACTTCCAGTCGTTCGTCACCTTCGTGTTCAACTCCTCGCTTTTCAGCTGATCCGTGATTATCTGGAACAGGAGAGTACAATGTATGATTCACGATACACTCGTTTTCAGGGGCGAGTAAGGGGGATGGTTGGGGGATGGAGGGGGAGGATATCGTTTGTAAGGGTGTCGTGAAAATCGGCCACGATTTGGACGAGATTTATGGATTGTTGGAAGAATGGAAGAGGGAATTGGGAATTAATATTAATTTCCTTAAGTTTAATTCATTTTGTGATACGGTTTTATAATAATGGTAGATAGAAGTACTTTGGGTGATATGGTAAATAGAAATTTGTGTCAATTTTCTTAAATAATAATCAAAAGAAATAACATTTTAGGAATTAATACTTATATCTTAAAAGATTTATTATATTTTAAATAAATAGTTTTCATAGATATACTTGTCAGTTAAAAATTTTTAAATATTATTTCAAGAAAATTATTTCAGTAACAATTTACAATACTTTTTATTTAAGATATTTGTATTAATTCTTCTCAAAAAATTTTAGGAAATTAAAAGAATATTTTTTCAGATAAGTATATAAAAAGTTAATGAATGCATATAAATTGATAAACAAAAATTTGTATTTAATATTTCAAGGAACGAGCTTATAGCCTAATTATCAATGCATTAATCTCCAAAATATATCTTGCTTTTAAATATTGATGTATGATTGAAAATCCCACGTGTATGTATTTGAAATTATGTGGAGCATATTTGTTGCTGAATGCATTTATATAAAGTACCACGATGATATATAGGGAAAGTCCTAATTATGTCCTTTTAATAGAGTTTCTCTTCAAGTTTGATCGTGATTTCGTAACTCTCTCGCTGTTTTCACTTGGGACCAATTTATATACTCGATGTGTAAACACTCACATGTGAAACTCAAGATATTCATTAATTCGTGTAATAATTATTACCAAAATTAATCATGCCATTGGTTCAAGCACATAATTTATTATATTTAATGATTTTCTAATTCTTAGTATATACCAAGTTATATATCTTTTTACCAATATAATTATTATAGAAAAACTAATGAATTAAAATTGTAAATTATAAATTAATATACTTTATTTACAATAATTAAAAAAATATCACAGTTTATAAAATATATTTAAAAAAATACTAATCTCGTCTATTTATAATGTGCATTTATCTATAACTTATTTCCTAAAAATTGTATTAGTATTTATTTTATTAAAAATCATTTCAATTCTCTATAGCGCTATATTTATTTAATTTCATATAGATAAAAATTTATATAATATAAAGAATTCCAAGAAAATTATAAAGATATAGATATTAAGAATAAATTTCTATTCTACTTTCTTATTAACATATCCTATTTATTTCTATCATTTTCTTTGTGACCTTTTTGTTAGAAGAAATAGACTAATTCATATCTCTATAATCTTTCTAATTTTAATTAAAATTTGCCTAATGCTTAAAATATTCAAAAAAAAAAATATTAAATATTAATATTTTAATTAAAAGCTTCAACATTGAAATACTTGAATGTTTCCATCTTGAATATCCACTAACTATTAACAACGATCATTTTCCATTGAAATGCTATTTAATCGTTTTTAGACAGAAGAACCAAATGTACAACAGAATTCTCGAAACTTGTTGGAATATGACCATCCAATTGTCTACAATTGTCCCTATCATAGTGTCACCATCGAATAAGAAGTTTCCATCTAATGTTTTCATAATTACAAGCAACGATAGATCTTCCGTATGTTTGATTTTCTCGTGTAAGTTTGACTCGAGAAATGGACTGGCTTTAATAATCCTGCACAAACATTGGTACAAGAGAGAAATGGTTTCATGTACGTCGACATACCACGATATACGTGCTATTATGATACACACATAATACTTACAAGAAAGTTTCCGCACTTACAAGTAAATTAAAACGAGTGTACACTTGGTAATTAGCTGGAGACCGTGTATATTTCGCAAGAACTCGCTAATTGTCATCCTCGTTATTATTAAATGGACGACACTTCTTTCTATTGAAAATAAAGCAACGACTCAAGTCTGTAAACGTTCAAGTGTTTAAGAGCGCGTACGCTTCCTTATGAAAGAGGAGAACGAATTAGTAGCCTAACGAGTTCCTAATTCCTTTTAAAGTTCACTGTACTATGCTGTGCTAGTTTCTAAACGTGAATAAAGTGCAACTTGAATAAAAATTTGTATATTCGTTAAAAATTCTAAATAATCTTGAGGTAAAAATAAAAAGTAGAGAATTTTAGTGTTGAAAAGATTAAGTCACTTGAAATGAAATAGAGATTAAGAAAATACATTTCCTACTGTTCTTTTTAATTTACCCTTAAACGTATAATGATCATAAATATAACACTTTTATACATTAATATTGCTCATCAATTCTCATGTACATCATTTATCAATCAAATAATCTTAATATCTTTTTCAATCTCCATACGTTAAAAAATAATAATATTAATAAAAAAAAAGAGTAACGTAAACCCATAGTACTTCTACCTGACACAAAGAGAAATAGATATTCTATCTTTTTGAAAAAAAAAAAAAAAAAAAAAAA